TTCTTTTCCCTTGCAGCCTCTCAGGTGAAGTACATCTTTCTCCAGCAGTTTCCTTTTAGTTTTGATTCGTATATTCATGCTCTGTAGTGAAATATGTTTTCTTTTTAACTTAATTTTATTGATTATTTTTATTTTCTGCTTCATTTTTAAAATTGAGAGAATAAAGTACAATGTAAAGAAGAAAATAAAATCATAAAGTGCTGTGCTAAATGTTTACAGATTTTTTCCTTCTAGTTTTACTTTCATGCCTATACATTCATACACAATACATGAGTTTAGTTGAGATCATATGGTATATTCAGTTTTGATCTGTTAAGCTTAAAAAAAAAATGAAGGGCTTGTTCCATTTCCTTAAATTCTTTGAAGATAGCATTTTGAATAGTAACAGTATATCATCTTGAATAGCAGCATAGCACTTACTTCAACTTTTTCCTGTTTTTCCTGCTGCTGGGTATTTGGATTGTTTCTGCTTTTCCACTTACTGAATATCTCTGTATCATTTTAGTCTGAGTTTTAGATTATTTACATTTACTTCAGAATAGAACCCTGGAAATGGGTCACAAAACAATATGGACATGTTTAAGATTCTTGTATAATCTTTCTGGGAAGGAATTTGTTGTTACAGGCTAATGGCCATTCCCACCAGTATTTGAGTCCTTTTCATGAGACTCTTGCCAGCATTGAATATTTCATATGATTGATCTTTTCTGATTTGAAAGGCAAAAATGTTCTCTCATCATTATATCCCTTTGATTAATAGGGATGGTCAACACTTTTTCATGTATTTTCTTAGCCGTTTGTTTTTCTCTTCTGTAAATTATCTTTTTAGGTTCTTTAGATTTTTCAAAATTGAGGTCTTAATGTTTTCTATATTGATAGGACTTCTTGTTTTAATCCTTTGTCTTATTTGTGATAATTTTCCTAGTTTATTTCCTTTCTTAAAAACAGACTTTATTTTTTTAGAGCAGTTTTATGTTCATGGTAAAATTGAGCAGAAATTAGAGTTCCCAAATACTCTCTGCCCCTACACAGGCACAGCCTCCCACACTTGTCATCTCTGTACCACAGTTACACTTACTCCGGCAGATGCATCTGCACTGACACATCGTTATCACCCAAAGTCTTGTTTATATTAGGGTTCACTTTTGGTGTTGTATATTCTATGGGTTTGGACCAATAGATAATGACACGTATTTATCATTGTATTACCATACAGAATAGTTTTACTGCCCTTAAAAATCCTCTGCCTGTTCATTCCCTCCCACCTTCCTAGCCCCACAATCACTGATCTTGTTACTGTCTCCAGGAGCTTGCCTTTTTAAGAACGTCATGTACTTGGAATCATACAGTATGTAGCTTTTCCAAATTGCTTTCTTTCACCTACTAATATGCACTTAAAGTTTCTTTATATCTCTTCATGGCTTGATAACTCATATCCTTTAAGTGCTGCATAATATTCCATTGTCTGGATGTAGTACAGTTTCTTTATCCACCTACTGAAGGGCATCTTGGTTGCTTCCAAGTTTTGGCAATTAAGAATAAAGTTGTTGTAAACATCTGTTTGCAGATTTCTGTGTAGATATAGTTTTCAACTTTCTTGGGTAAATAACAAGGAGCACAATTGCTAAATCATATGGAGAATGTTTAGTTATGTAGGAAACCACTAAACTGTCTTCCAGAGTGGCTGTACCACTTTCCATTCCCACCAGCAATGTAGGACAGTTCCTGTTGCTCCACGTGCTCACCAGTATTTGGTGGTGTCAGTATTTTGGATTTTGGCCATTCTGATAGATGTGTTGTAGTGTCTCATTGTTTTAATTTGCAATTCCTTAATGACATATGTTGAATGTCTTTCCATATGTTTATTTACAACCTCTATATCTTCTTCGCTGAAGTATCTGTTAAGGTCTTTGGCCTGTATATTTTTTTTTTAATTTTTTTAAAATTAACATATGATGTATTTGTTTCAGGGGTACACGTCTGTGATTCATCAGTCTTACACAATTCACAGCACTCACCACAACACATACCCTCCCCAGTGTCCATCACCCAGCCACCCCATTCCTCCAGCCCCCCCCCACCACCACTCCAGCAACCCTCAGTTTGTTTCCTGAGATTAAGAGTCTCTTATGGTTGTCTCCCTCTCCTGTTTCATCTTGTTTAATTTTTCCCTCCCTTCCCCTATGATCCTCTGTCTTCTTTCTCAAATTCCTCATATCAGTGAGATCATATGATACTTGTCTTTCTCTGATTGACTTATTT